GTATTTAACAAAACCAAGTTACCTCATTGTAAGAATTCTCTCCAGCTCCTCTCTATACTACTTTGGCCAGAGATAGGGAGAAGAAGAGAAGTTGTAATACTTACTACTTGCTTCTCAGCTGCCATCACTGCCGTGGGCGGCGGCCCCCCCCTCCCCCCCCCCCCCCCCCGGCGGGTCCCCCTTCCACTAGAGCAGGTTTCTCCAAGCCCCATCCAGCAGCATCTACCTAAATTCATGTGTCTTTTGACCTAAAGCAAATGTTCCAGTGACTTTAGACGGATTCAGGCTTGGACTCGGTTTCCTTTGGCAACACAGGAAAACAGATTTTCCCTGGGGATTGTGGGCAGCTAGTTCTCAATTTACTTTTTCCCTGATTTTTAACCAGTTTCTCACTTCAGGGCCAGACAGCAAAGGGATAGCATCTACCTAAATTCATGTGTCTTTTGACCTAAAGCAAATGTTCCAGTGACTTTAGACGGATTCAGGCTTGGACTCGGTTTCCTTTGGCAACACAGGAAAACAGATTTTCCCTGGGGATTGTGGGCAGCTAGTTCTCAATTTACTTTTTCCCTGATTTTTAACCAGTTTCTCACTTCAGGGCCAGACAGCAAAGGGATAATTGTATGTTCACACAGATGGAGTCTTGGGTGACACGGTCTAGTGTGACGTGCCCCTGCCCATGGCAGGGGGTTGGAACTGGATGCTCTTAAGGTCCCTTCCAACTGGATGATCTTAAGGTCATTCCCAACCCGAAGCAGTCTGTGAATCCATGATTTTATGAATGCAGCGTCTTTTAGGGCAGCTGGGATGAGATTGCCAAAGTGTAGGAAAACTGACAATAAAGTGTCTAGCACCCCTTTGGGGCTGGGTAATGGGGATAAAGGTACAGAGCAAACCAGAGTCAGGTGGGGTTTATAGATGTTCAGTTTTCTTTCCTCTCTGCCCCCCAGGCCTTGTCTCCTCCGACAAGGAGAGTGCATCCTATGTGCTGAAGAAGCCAGAGGGTGGGAATGCGCTGGCCATCATCATCGGTGGTGCGCAGGAGGCGCTGGATGCCCGGCCGGGGTCCTGCACCTTGCTGCTGAAGAACAGGAGGGGATTTGTGCGCCTGGCTATCGAGCATGGGTGATGCAGGGGATGGGCTGACGGCGCCCTTGGGGGTGGATGCTTTGGTTTGTGGCTGCTTAATGGGATGTTCCTGCTGGTTTCAGTATCATAGAACCACAGAGTGGTTTGTATTGGAAGGGACCTTAAAGCTCCTCCAGCTCCAACCCCTGCCCCGGGCAGGGACACCTTCCACTAGAGCAGGTTGCTCCAAGCCCCTGTGTCCAACCTGGCCTTGAACACTGCCAGGGATGGGGCAGCCACAGCTTCTCTGGGCACCCTGTGCCAGCACCTCAGCACCCTCACAGGGAAGAGCTTCTGCCTCAGAGCTCATCTCAGTCTCCCCTCTGGCAGGTTCCAGCCATTCCCCTTGACCTGTCCCTACAGACCCTTGTCCAAAGCCCCTCTCCAGGTTTCTTTATGACTCTAGATGCTGGAGACATCCTCACTCCTCTCTTCTTTTGGACAGGGGAGATGGTGTTTTGGGGTGGGCTTTGCTAATCTTCATGCCCTCACATTGGGTTCAACTCCTCGCAGCACCCCGCTGGTCCCTGTCTTTTCCTTTGGGGAGAATGACCTCTTTGAGCAGGTGAGAAATCCCCAGGGCTCCTGGCTGCGGAGGGTCCAGCACCAGCTCCAGAAGATCATGGGCATCTCCCTTCCCCTCTTCCATGCACGAGGCATCTTCCAGTACAGCTTTGGGCTGGTACCCTACCGTCGGCCCATCTACACCGTGGGTGAGTCCTTCCTTGGCCAGCACAATACAGTTACATTTAGCCTGCCCAAAGTGGGGAGCAGGGACATTCCCTGGCTTGTGTGATTCTCCTGGCTGGAGATGCCATGGAACATCATGCTGGGGTGGGCTAGAAAGGCGCTGGCAAAGGAGCACCCCCAACTGCTCATGTGTCACACTGGTTTGGGACTTTGGCTTGGTCTTAGGACAGAGCCCAGGTCATCTATGCATCAAAGCAAAGCCCTAGAGCACTCACATCCGTCCCATTATCTGTGTGGGATGCAGCCAACCTCAATCCCAGCACAACCCAGTGATAAAAACCACTGCAATAACACTGGTTTAAACTTCCAAGCCAATTTTACAAGCAGAAGTAGGGCAACACCTCAGCAGTTGCAGGTTTGCTCAGTGTCTCATACAGACACAGCTCAACTCCAATCTATTTGCAAGGCAAGAGGTTTCGACCAGAGATCATGCACGGGGAAGACCAAATTCAAAGCAAGTCTTTGGATTTGAAGCACTTTTGCCTGGTTTCAAGAACTCCATCCTTGCCCCGTGGAGCTGTTGAAACCCATCCCCACCAGAGCAGCTGATGCTGGGTGAATTAGTCTAATAAAAGAGGCCATTTGGAAAGGTCAGATCTCACCCCACTGATGAGGTTTGACAGCCAGCAATTACTTCTAATTGCTTTACAACCTGTTTGGATTGTCTCAAGGGGTTTATGAGCTGTGCAGTATCGCAAGGGCTCTTCATTAACCTGAGGAGGAGCAGCCTTACACAACGATGAAACCCTTCCTCACTTGACAAACACAGTTTGAGCAAGAGACCAGAGCAAAAGAGGCATCACATGGACTTCATGTCCCTTGTAGGTGCCTAGTGAGCTGCTGGTGGCTCTGGGA